AACTGTATTCATCGTAATAGAGAATTGACATATTATTATGAATCATGTGAGGGACCAATAAGGAATGAAATTAGTTACATCGAGTAATTTTACTACAAGAAGTATTTAAAATGAGAGTTGAATATATAAAATAAGAAATATTACAAATATTTTTACCGAAAAAGATGAAATACAAGTAAATCAAATTGAATACAGAATTTAAGATATAAAATATATTAAAAATATTATTGAGAGATTGTAGAGCTGAAATGAATGGAATTGAAGATCGTTTTAGTTAAGGTAAATCAATGAAATAAACAATTTTATAGCATTAAATATAAGTGATTTAATAGTAATTATTTCAAATAACAATTTTAGAGATTTGGATAAAATGATTAATTTAGTAAGATAGTTTTATAATTTGATTAAAAATAATGATTATCTTGAATTTCTATTTGTTAGTTGATTTTATTAAATAGAATTGAATTTTAAATTGCAAAAAACCATACAATAGTTGAATAGATGAAATACTAGATGATTTACATAGAGAATTACCAGATTTAAGATTATTTTTAGGAAAGATGGAAGGACAATAAGAAATTCTTGTGAATTTGAATGAAATTATATGGAGAAGGATAAATGAAAGAAAAAATGAAGAAGAATCTATATGATAAATTTTCATTAGACATTTTGATAATGAAATAAAAAAATGGTAAAAGTTGGTTGAATTTTTTACTGAAAAATTGAAAGAATACGAAATGATTCGTTATTTTTAATGAATCATTTAATATAAAAACAATAAATAAATCTTGTAAACAAAATAAAAATCATACTGCTGAAATTATATTATAAATATGATTATTTTAGTTGTTGGATATACCAACAGATTAATAGATAGGAAAAAAAACACATTTTATGGTGGTGCTATTTTATGGACAAAAATGCCAAAATTATATGAAGAAACTAAGAAATCACAAAGTGAAGTTATTATTGAATGAACAATGTCGAGGATAAAAGTTAGAATGCAATATAAATAAGTTAATTTTTAGGAATATTTAAGAAAATGATAATGATAAGAATGGTATGGTA